TCGGCTTGGGTGCCGTTCATCTGCAACAATGCCGTTTTTTTTCCTCGAAAAAAAGCAGAACACACACATTGACATAAAAAAAAGGGGTTCGTCGCAATTTTTCTCGCGCTCGTTTTGAGCCAACTCCATTTCATTTTTTTTGTGTGGGTGTGGTCTTATTTTCTTTATAATTAACACCAAATTCTTGGAATTTTCAAATATTTCATCTGTGGACATTTTTCCAACCACATTTCTCATCTCAATTTGCGCTGGATTTGTTTTAGATATCAAAATTTATATAAAAATTAATCAGGACAAATCAATTCACGAATTCTTCCACATTCTCCCCAAACGATGTTCAAATTTTCAGCGATCGTCGAGTCATATTTCACGTACCAACCAGTCCTACCGTACCCAGCTACCGTAATCCGTCTGGCATCCAGCCAACCCCTCAAATTCTCGATTTTCTGTCCTATTTGAGTTTCTAAAAAGTGAGACCTCCAATTGTCGTCATTTATAATGCATTGTGACGTTCATTGGCACAAATCTTAACCAGACATTAATGGGATGAAAACCGCCTATGGGCCAGTACAAAAATTGCCTATGAATGTTTAAAAACTTTCGCTTCTTCTTTTTGTTGCTTTGCTAATGGGCAAAAAGCTCAAAGTTGTTCGGTTTCTTGGTGTCTACTCTAAGCTCCGCCCATCGAAGCATCATCTTGAATAATAATTAGGGTAGTCTGATAAGGGACGTCTTTTTGCTGTTCGTCTTCAATTTTTTTGCATACAGATTCTTTAGAAAATTTCAAACTAGATCTCCTCTACCTGTACAAACTTTTATTTATGCATTTGTATGCAAAATTCAGGGAGGAGGGGACGGGGGGGGGGGTGGGTAAAACTATAAAGGTCCTTATCTCGATGACTAGAAGTTTGCGCAGGTAGGGACCTGGTTAATTCGATTGGAAATTTTCTAAAGAATATGCATGCAAAAAATTAAAGATGGACTGCAAATAGACACCCCTTGTGAGAAAATGTGAGTTGAATAAAAAAAAGATTTTGAAGAAGCACACAAATTTTCAATGCGTATATTTCCAATAAACTCTAAGATTCTTTCTATTGAATAAAGATGAAGCTTAAATGGGCGTGGCTTAAACAAGAGGGATTCTAGAAAATCGAAAAATTTCTTTATTCCAAATTATATGGATTTCAATTGAAAGCTTCTCGTTGAATGTTTGAGCAAGTCGCCGCGAGTTCTTTTTTCCATTTATGCTCCGCTCAAAAACTTGGAAACCGTTCGCCGTTTGTTTGTATTTTGCTGCTCGTTCAATCCTCGTGTAGTGGACGGAGGCCGAGCAAAAAAAAAACAACGAGTGCAATGGCGGCTATTGCGCACTCGCCGCCGCCCAATTTCTGCTCCAACACACTTTTTGCTCGCAAAATGTTGCACAAATTTCAAATTGAATATTATAATAATAATGATAGTCGAATTGAACACCACCCGGTTGGCGCGGACGACACGAAAAACACATCTGGTCGTTGCGGGGTGCGTCTCAATTTTTTTTTGGTCGAAGAAATCTCGAAGTTTTCACGACGAAATATCGCTAGGTGTATTGGAGACTTAGAGCCGAGAAAATTTTTTCGTCGTGTTATTCATTATTCAATCTCCGAGTTTTGCTGCCTCTGTACCCCTGGCCGCTTATTAATAATGGCGCTAATTTTTTTTTCTCTCGATCAACTAGCGACTTGTTTTATTTTAAGCTTTTGCTTATCGTCATCATCAACAACATAACAACAACAAAACGAATAGAATGAGTACGAAAAACAGCGAATGTTTCAATCCATTTTGTAGCGATGACCAATTCGAGATTCGAGTGAGATGAAGCGAGACACCGCAATCAATTGATACGAGTCAAATGTTTTTTGATGTTCTAGCGGTGAGCACGAAGGCTCAAAAAAATATTGGCCGGGCGTTTGCTCCCACAAAACGTGCCAGCCACCAGCAATCAAATCGGCGGCATGTATCAATTGATAGACCAAACTATATTAAATGAAAAAAATGATTTTCACAATTTTCGCTTGCGAGTTCAATTTTTTATAATGATTCGGATGAAATCTCGCTTTCTTGTCTTATTTGCTATTCAGATAGGCTCCGCCTACTTGTTTGAAATCGCGTTTTTTTTCGCCTCTCTCTCTCTCATTTTTTATTGCTACATTTCAATCATCACAACCTATAATTACCACTCAGGACTCGATTCTTAGAGTTTTTTCGTCTTGCTGTTTTGTTTTTGCAATTTCAAAATTTTTTTTCTCGTCGTCGTCGCCGCCGCCTCAAAAACTTGCCCTTCGGACTCTCATCATTAATAACAATCAGCTTTTTGTGTGAGGTGAAGAAAACTGAAATTGATGAATGTCCCATCATCTCTTTCTCAAATTTTTTTTTGTCGGCACGTTGAGGAGTGGGATTTATCGGGGACAAGGCGGGGTTGAGATCAACGGTTGAGAACACCTACTCTTTAGTCTCGAACACGGGACGAGGTGTTTTCTTTTTGATCTAATCTTTCCAAAAAAAAAAATTGGGTCCAAGTGTCGTCCAGCGCTAGAAGCCTAGAATAGATTTTGGCGGAGTTGCTGTCTTGAGAAGTCAATTTTTTTGTTTTCCGAAAATGGCCAACTACATTTCTTTCTGGAGAGACTTTTTTGCCTGCTCATCTGCTCGCAATCCCATTTTTTCCGTGATATCCTCACGGCTCAGGTGTGTGTCTTCATCACTTTCTTTCGTCCATTTTTTGCTGCCTGCTTATCTTCTCCTTCTTCTTCTTCAATTGGCCGATCCCCGCTGGCCGTTCGGGACCCCGTCCCCGCGATTTCACGTTTTTCTCAACAACATTTTCGCTGTACAATTTTTTGACCCGTCGCTTCTCTCCGTTCCAATCACTTTTTTCTCTCGCTTCACCCAGTGTCGGCGACGTCGTCGCCGAGAAGCCCGAACAGGAAAAAAACTCACACATACACACAATTTTCATCAAATTATAATTAGTCATTTGTTTCGACGAATATTCAATTTTAATTTTCGCTTGTTTTTTTTCTTATCCAGCAAAAAACCAGCGAATTGATTAGTAATGAATTTAATTAAATTTTGAATATTTTTGTGGGTCACAATTGAGAAATAGCGGGTTTGAGCTAATTGGTTCATAGCTATTTGTATCTGCGGACAATATCCGTGACACGCCTCGGAACACTGTCCGCAGATCGAATCTTTACCATCTAAAAACACACTATTCGTACTCATATCTTTTGAAAAAAAAATTGCCGAGATGGAAAAAAGACGACGACGAAACTCCACCCCCCCGATTTTTCTTCGAAACAACGAAAAAAAAATTGTTGCGCGCGTTTTGACCATCCCAAAAACGGTCAGGTTTTTCGCGTTATCTCGCGTTGGGTGAACGAAAGAAGATGATGGAAAAAAAATGAGAGATGTTCTCCGCCGACGCCGCCGTAACGCCATCCGGTGTTTTATCAAGTATCAACTTTCCTTTTTCAACAAATCCCATCATCATCAATTTTCTCGAAATTCGCCGGCTTCGTCTTCCCTTCGAATTGATGACCTTTTTTGTCCTCTGCTGATACTCTCGATTGCGGGGGATTTCTCGCCTTGTCGTCGTCGTGGCAATTGGCCAAGTCGCGGCTAGATGGATCGAACATGTGTCGATTCGAGCGGGACCCCTATGAACCACGCAACTCGCCATATCTCTTTTTCTCATTTATTTATTTTTGGTTTGATTTCGAATTTGATCCATCCAATTTTTAGGTTCAAAACCGTCGACGCCTCTTCATTCTTCAACGAATCGCCTAGCGATATTCTCAGGGAGTCCAACTCCCCATCCCCATCCCCCCAAATCTCTCTTTCCAAAAGAGACAACACATCAGAAGTCGATCAAATCGATTCGAAGCTCTTCATTCTTGGGTATTACGCGAAGCGAATATCGACTTAAAGTCAAAGGTGAGCGACATCGATGAAAGGGAACAATTGGCGGCACTGGGTTGATAAGGGAAAATGAGTTTAATTGGATTAGGCCGAACGAGTTTGATTTAAAGGCGCATCGAATTGAGTCCCATTGGGACTCAAACAACAATGAGCCCAATAATTGAAGAGATTGTGTATAATTAATGCAGAGCTCAGTATAGCCAATCAAAAATTATTTCGCATTTTCTTTGTTTTTCAGTCAGACAATGTCTGATGCCAACTCTATTTATACATATTGATGAGACAACATTTTTGATCGATACAATCCTGAATAATAATAATAATTTTTGTTCGCTGCCGAAAATTGGTTATTATCGCGCTTACGAGGTTTTTTTGTCGGTCGGGATGAATAAAAGAAAAATGGGCAGGTTTTTGAGATGAGAATACATACATATAGAGTCTAATAGCGGCACATCGGAATTTGAAAGTTGGCGAGTTGTCCGCAGCTTGAGAATTATACATTCGCTTGATGAGAGGCGATGAAAATCATTTGCCAACTATTCATTTATTCAGCACAACCATGCCGATTAAAAAATAAAACTATACAAAAAGGGATTTTGAAAAAATTTCGTTTGAAAAAACGAATAATGGAATACGTGTGAGTGTGCGTCTGCGTGTTTGCGGAATGAAAATCAAAATTGATTTCGATGAAAATTGAGTAGCAATTCAAATGTTTGATGTAATTGGTATCGGAAAATTGTCGGCAGCATTTTTTTATTTGAAGTCGAAAACTTCACGCCATACAGACCGACACATAGCTGCTTTTAACAAGTAGTTCCTGGTTGTAACAAAATTGTTGCCCTCCACAATTTCATTTTGAACCGTTTTGCCCAAATTTGGGCAACGGCGAGATTCTTGCACCAGCTGCCGGCCAATTCACAAAAAAAAAACTTCCATATATAGAAAAGCAAAGGGGTGTGAATGGCAGGTGTCTGTGCGCAGACGCCTCATCACCAAATTCGAACATTTGTTGCGAATCCACTCGTACTACAATCCTAATGTTTGCCAGTTCCAGCCTGTTCATCCATCAGAACCATCTTGCAATGCAGGCCAATTTAGGTAATTCGATTGAAGGCCTGAATGCCGAATCGACACCGATACCTCTTCGTTTCAGGAACTGCATTCCCGACTCCGATCGAGTCGCAAAACGGTCATTTCACGAGTGGTATAACCCCGACGAACAACGAGAATCGCTCGCAATCGCGATCAACCGATGGCACCGACACCACCGACGGCAATCAGTCGGCGAATGAGGGATCGACGGTGTCGTCGCCGCATCAGCCCATCACCAATCTCAATATGGCACTCCAACATGTCGAGAATAATTCCAACCCGTTTCCAACATTCAATCAAGGTACGTCTTATCGATTTTTTGCTGCGGACATTCTTCGATTTCGAAATCTTTCTTTTTTTGCTGCATTTTAAAATAAATAAATAAAACCAATCTAGATACATTTTTTGCTCATTTTGTAAAATAACTTATTTCGAAGTTTTGTGAATGTCAAAAAAAAAATGAAGAAAAAATGTCTTCCTCCAAATTATATTTTGATTTTTGATGAATACCTTCGTTTTTATTATGAATTGCCGATTTCGATATTCATTTCGAAATCACTTCATCGATCTACAAAAATTTCATGACAGACGGTATTTTTGAAGATCTGCAATATTCCATGAATCCCGAAATTTCCCTCGTGTTAAAAATTAAAAAATAAATTTTTTTAATCAAATGAAAAATCGCACAATTTTTCACGTAACTCAATAATTATATAGGAAAACGTCGAGTTTCAGAAATTAATTTTTTTTTCTCAAAAAAAACCAATTTTGGAAATATTTTTTAAAAATAATTTTGAAAGAAACATATATGTAACTATATAATTATAGTGTTTTCGAATTCCTGTGCTGACATTTTGAAGCCGAAATCTTTTTTTTGTGCATCTGACCCAGACGAGCCCTCTTCGCGCATTTCCTTCCAAATTTGACAATTCAAATTTCAGCGGATCTGCTCAATTTCCACAACAACGCGCTGATTCCACACCAAATGTTCTCGCAGTTCGGCCGATACCCAAACGTGAGTCAGTCCCCACTCGAAACCCGAAACAAGCGAATTTAAAATGCATACATAACCGCGCGGTGTCGGGCTTCTCCAAAAAATATATTAATTTGACGAGATCTTTGCCAAAAAAAACCAACACCTATCATACTTTTTACTTAATTTTTCTTTATTTTTTAAAAATAATTTTTTTTTGCTTCGGGATGAGAGTGTGCTCAAATGAAAGCTTTGAAAATCCAATTCCATGTACTTTTGATTATACGAAAATATCTAGTGTGAATACCGTAATCCACGATTCTGTAATTCTGGAGAAAAATCATATTTGTTAGCTTCAACTTGACCTATCAAAAATGATAAAACACAGAAATTCGATTTGAATTCTATAGAAAGACAGTGGCAAGCTTCATCATCTGATGAAGCTGAATATAATCACTTCTGCGGGTAGATTTACGGGTAAGCGCCTTCGCTATGGTCTTGCACGGACTATATTGGTTATTTTTGAGATGTTAATTTTCAGTGATATTAAGAATTCAAGAAAATGGTATTCTCATCAAAAATAATTAGCCGGTTCACGTGAAAATTCAAAAATGAGGCCTCGCGCGTGGCGAGACCATTTTGATAGGGTCTTGCGCGGAATCACTTCAATGAGATGAGAGGAAACGAAAAATTCGACTAGAAAACATTAAATAGTTATCAAGAAAAAGAGAGACACCCACGAGACCATCGCGAAAGACGCATTCCCCCCGTAAATCTACACACGTTCCGAAAGACTACGGTAGGTGTTGTGAACGAGCCTCCGAACCCAAAACCAATTGAGGTTCATTTTTTTTGTATTGTAATAAAAAATAGACGGAATACCGGAAAAAGCGCGGCGCGCGGAGAACTCCTCAACGAGGAACGCCTCGAAAGCCTGCGAGAGGAACTAGAAAATGAGACGAAACTATCTGATTACACTCTCGGCCGAGAGGAGGAATTGTTGCATTCCTGCCGAAAATAAACAATTCCGACTCACAAAAATCGCCTTTTTTGACGTTCACTCGTCATTTTTTTTCGCGCCCGGCCACATGTCCGCATATGGTTTTTTAGGCGATGAGATGTGTGCAATTTGAGTAAACTCTCTGCGGACAAATCGCCTGGAATTCATTCTCAAATGGCAACAATTTGTCCGCAGCTAGAACTAGGCTAATTTGATTGCTCATCAGTGTCCTGTCGATTCAAATGTGTTGTTTCGTTGCAATACGAAAAGCATATGGCGGCCAAGTTTTCGGTTGGGATCAGCCGAATCGGAATCCCAGTGGGAAATGCGACCAAGGTGAATAATTGGCGAGGCATTATAAAGAACACACAATTGATTAATGGTTCGAAAAACGAGTAGAACCCTTTTTTTTCCGTTTCCATTCAAATCTACCGTAATCGCATCATTTGTCACTTTTGCCGCTCGCACCTTATTTGTATGAATCAACACTCATGAAAATTTCGTATATTTCGCGAAAATTGTAGGAAATTGGAAATGTGTGTAAATTTTCACGTTTTCTTATTCTACTAATAAATCCATTAAGCGATTCGAGCGAGAATTCGATTTCTGATAATTCATCTGCGGACATTCTAGCGGTTTTCAATGCTACAGTATCCATCTATTGATTCTCTAATATGTTTCAAATATTGCTAGACTAGTGTTGTATGTATGAGTTGGTGGTGCTCCAGACAGCTTCTCGTTCCCTCCTCAAGCTCCAACCAACTTCAGGACCCCCTTCCTCTTCTTCTCTTTGCGAATGACCTCCGCGCCTTTAAAAGAAGACCACCAATGTCGCCCAAAATCTCCGCCGCATTGTGCTCATGCGTGAGCATGTTTGCACTCAATTCAAGTGAACAGAACAAAAACAGAACAGCCGGCAGCTGGGGAGCGGAAGAAGCAGACGAAAAAAAGAAGAAGGAGGAGGCCAGCGGCAAAAAAAAAATAAAACGGCGAACTCCGCCCGTCTCGCTGCTCCTCGTTCGCTAGTTTTTTTTTCGCGTCCGCCTGCTGCTGTTCGTGTGCTGCTTTTTTTGCCCCGCGCCACCCCAACTGGTTTTCAAAAAAAAAAAAAGCACATTCTTATTCGGTGAGCAAAACGAGGGAGGCCGAAGCCACCCGCGAGATTGGTGTCATTTCGCCATCAACGTCTCGCCAGTATGCGGCTGTGGCGGTGGCTGTTCTCGCCGCCACCAAATCCACACCAACACCACCAACAGTAAGTTGTTGCAACTCATTTTTTGTTTCGATTTGAATGACATCCAATCCGGATCCTTTGTGTTCGGATTCGTGCGCCCTCCGCCACCCGCCCCAATCGTTTTTTATATCGGCGCCAAATTCCGATTGGTGTCGCGACTAGGGGTCACTTTCCGTTTTTTTTGCTGTCCTTTCCGTTGCCGTTTGCTAACCGAATCGTTAGGTAAGTCAAATTTCGTCATTATTTTTATTATTTTCTCTCTCTCTCGCTTCACTCTTCAACTTGGCGTTTGCACCATTAATTACTGCTTGCAATTATCGGTGTCGAGGCTCAAAAGCCAATCGTTTGCAGCAGCGAAAATTCGCAGAAAATTTCCGATCCGCCAGACAGGTGGAAATTTTTCCGATTGCGGTGTGCCAATCCACTGAAACAATTTTCGTTGGTTTTTCTCTTCCAAATATTTCTTGATTCTCATCGCGACTTATCTGCACCCAACCCACCCAATGAGCCCCCCCCCCCCAATATTCGGTAGAGTGTCCTCAATTCTTCGGATGTTCTCTACCCACAATCGGCAACGTTCGCCGCTTTTTTTTTGTGGGAGACCAGCCAGCCAGCGGTTTTTTTTAGGTCAACATCAATTTAGCGCAAGCCGCACTTTTACGCTGCGCGTCCTGCACTCAGCCGTTTTTTCTTCCCTCCACTTCTTCTACTGGCGCGCGCACGCTTCGATCGCGATCCGATCCGATCCGAAGAGTTGGCCTTGATCCAAAACGATGGTAGGAAAATGGGTGGAGAGGGGGGGGGATAAACGACGAGGGACGAAACGTAGGCCATCGACATGAATTGGAACGCACTAAAAAAAACTGCGTTCCTCTTCTCGCTTTGTGTATAATCTCTCTACATAAAAAAAAACGACTGCATTTTTTTTTCGTTGCGTCGACACGTTCTTCCTCTCCCCCCTCAACTCGATTGACCCGAATTTGGGGGTGAGAGAGTGTTGGAGACGAAGAGGCGCAGACAATGGTGACGGCCTGGGGGTGGCGAAACGAGCGAAAAAAAATTGCGGCCGGGAACGATCGGCCTGGGGGGAGGGTGGAACATCATGCCTGGTTTCTCGCTGTTTCATTCCTGACAATTTGCATACTCACAGTATTTCTCGACCAGCAAGCATTTATTCGTTTAAAATGAGGTGAGATTTCAATTGTTGGCTGCAAAAAAATGAATGCACAATTCATTTGATGTGATCTCGCAGCTGCGGACATTCTCGATCGTTTTCAATTGACAATCAATTCTATTGATTTTTCAAAGAACACAAGCGTTTTTTACGTTATAAAAAAATATTGGCTGTCTGGGCGGAATTTTTTTAATGGATTTTCGGGGGAAAATATTTGTTTGGTAATCGCCATGATTCGAAATTTTTAACTTCTTGGTTTCAATTAAACTGTCAAGAAATACCAATTTCGAAATGAAAAATAGAAGAATTTTAAGGCATTCATTGAAAAATTTGATTGTTTGTGATTCAACAAGAATTATTTTAAGCAGAACCACAAGATCTAAAAAAAAAGAAATGAAACTAGCTAGACGGCTGGTCGATAGTTGGCAACTCATGCGCCTTTAAACACGAGACATTACAACTTCTGTTCAATCATTTCCCACCTCTACCAATCATTTTTATTTGCCAACACTTTAACATGAAGCTTGCCTTCTTATTTCCGACGCGATTGGCTTATCAGCAATCGCAAAATGGTCTCGAATGGAAGAAGCTCTCCGTTCTGATTAATCAACAACTCGTTGTGCAACACGAGATGTCAGTCGGCCGAGGCGGCGGCGGCGAAGAAGAAGCTATCGGGGCCATACGAAACAGCGAACCACGGCGCACTCAAAAACAAGAAAAAAAACTCGAGAGTTGCACAACACCGAAAAAATGATAAAACGAAAAAAAAACATACTGGCGAGCAAGATGCCCCGAGCGAGCGTCATCGTCGGCGTCTATTTTTTTTTATTTTCCTTCCACGTTTTTCTTTTTTTTTAATTATGTGTTATTTTTTTTTTGCCCCATTCATTATTGTAACGCCTAAAATGATCAAACAACATTTGAAAATGTCTCGTAAAATTTTTTCTCGACGACAGAAGACCAAAAAATAACAAAAAATGTTTTAGTGCGAAATTTCGACATAAACATTTTTATGAAAAAAAAAAGTGAAACGGAAGAATGAGGATTTCCATTTAAAGACGCATAATATCGAAAATCCTTTTTGTTTTTTTTTTTGCGGTTCCACAATTTTATATCAAAATCATAAATTTTGAATCGAAAAAAGATTGATTGCCATCGTTTCTCATCGAGAAATTAATATTTTCCAATGTGAAACTAATTCGATCGTATGCGCCTTTAAATTACTGATAAATGTCAAAAGAAGAGAGCGAGACACCCGGTTTTTTTTCGGCGTGCATTCGTTATCGGCCGGGTTCCAGAACGAGAGGAGTGATGCGATCAAGGTGACCGAAAAAAAAACGAAGAAGAACTCCTTCGAAATTTATCAGTTTTGCCCCAAAAAATTGGTCGAATCGTCTCATTTTTTCTTCTTTTTTTTCCCACCTCGTTTTCATCTCTCTTCTTTTTCGTTTTGTTCCCGAAGACGCGCCCTCTGGGCACCCGAAACATAATTTATCAATGTTTTTTTTTTCGCCTGCTTGGCGACTCGTTTTCCGACACCAACCCCATAATCATACTATAACGACGAAACATTTTTTTTGCTGCTGCTGCTGCCTACTACCACTGCGACCCGTATTGTCGATCACCATCACCATCATCATAATCGTGCGGCAAGAAAACGATGATGCCGCAATCAAATGCCGACGACGGCTGCCAACCGCCACAATCGACGTCGACAGCGATCGTCGGCGCGCAATGCGGATTTCTGTGGGCCGCCTCGTTCCCAAGGATCGATGAGATGCTCGCCGCTGCCGCCGCCGCCGCTGCCGTCGTCGCTGCCAGCGCACCATCGACGTCATCGCCGCCAACGGAATTGTCGCCTCCATCAACACCGTCGCAGGTATTATAAACATTGGACCACCCCCCCTTCCACTCTCGCCTTTTTTTCCTCGAATTCCCAATTAATTTGCCACGTCATTTCGTCAATTACGTTCCTCTTTAAAACCAATGTTGATCACACTGATTTTCATTTTTCATTTTTTATGGTGTTGTGCAATTCAAAAAAGAAGGTAGGTTAGTTGCCAAATAAGGTGAAATCAAAAAGGGATATCGTATTTCTCTCATATCATTCATTCAAAAGTGCCCCCCAGACAGCCGAAAATTGAGTTATGAAAAATCATCGCATCGTCATCTTTTTTTTAAAGAAGAAATAGCAACAGTTAACAACGTGTGTGGTCTTGATCCAAAAAATTGCGAAATAATGTCCGCAGATGAGTTATCACAAAATGTTGCTTCGCGCGACGTATTTGATATCTATTTGCTGCTCGTTGTCGAGACGAACAAAAAATCGCGTCGGCGAATATAAAATGCATATTAAAACCCGCTTTCACTCTGTCTCGACTTTTTTTTGCGCGCGCGCTCGTTTGCCACCAATCGTTGACAGTTCAAACAAGGTTTTTGCCGACTCGAAATAATCGCGAGGATTCTCAAGGGACCACATGAGTCACTTGTATTAATTAATAATAATAACGTCAACGAAAAAAATGATATTAATAAAAATTGGCTCATAACAAGAAGTGTGATTCGTTGATTTAGTCAGTCGGGGTGAAGTGGCTCATATTATTCGCCAATTCGCTGCGAGACCCTAGCATTTGATCTACTTGCGACAATAAAGCGAATCGTTTTTTTTTGTATTTTGATCGCTTCTCGTTCATTATTGGCACCTTTTTTCGGGGGGAACACGCCGCGATTGCAAGGCGCCGCAGCGATAAGTGCAAATATGTACATGGCAGCTTCTACCGGCAGAGATCTCCGGTTTCGGGTCAATTTCAACCAGCAATCGTTGGTGCATGTTGTTGCCAACGAAATTCGTCGCCGCTTTCGGTTTTTACTACTACCATCGTTTTGCCCTCGTTGGTGGTGAGAAGAAGGCGAAGAAACCAGCCTCGCCTCTCACGGTGCGATTGCGATTCGGTTACGGTAGGCCCGATGGCTGCTGATTGGCCCGTCGACGAACCATCGGCGGCAGTCGCCGTCGCATTTCGCGTCTCCTTTTACGCATCCCCCTCCCATTCTTTACGCGTTTTTTTTTTTCTTCTGCTTCATAGCCGTTTTTTGTTGCCCATTTTCGGACTCCATGTTTCTTTCATTCGGTCATTATCGACGGACACGATCGTCCGACAGTTTTTTTTGTTGCGTCGTCGTAGTCGTGTTAGACGTCGCATCGTCAACTTCTTCATCGCCTTCTCCTCAATCTTTTCTCAAAAACTTTTTTTCCTCAAATTTGGGCACATATTGATCGATATTACATAATAACGTTTACTTTTGTCCACCGTAATCCAAGTTTCTCAAAATTTCGTCAAATTAAATCTGAAAAAAAAAATTAGAATTTTCGAATATCACTATAAATTCTTTATTGATTTTTCCAGCCAATCTCCTCCTTTTTCTAATTCTTACAGTATATCGGTTTCCCGCATAAAAAGTCGACTCTACAACTTTTTATGGTTATGGGAGGTTTCAGTTTAATACGCAGACAACTATGGGGAGAGGGGGAGCGAATTCCTTGATTACTTAGCACCGCGCCATCAAAGGGCATCATTAATTTGATAATTGCCTGGCTATTAATAATCGTAGACGTGCTCATGCGTCATATATGTGGTTCAGATTGACATTATCAAGATCATGTGACCACATACTAGACTCGCCAATTTTTTAATTGTTGATTTCTCGTCGTCGATCCCCCCCCCCTTTCGGAAATTTTTTTGCTCCGCTCGGCTCTCGGAGCTCTCGTTCAATTTTTTGTTCGGTTGTGGACGGCCACCTCTTCGTTCTCCTCGTCGAATGCACTCTTTCCCAGCAGCTCATACCGTTTCGGATGACACTCAAATGTCAACAAAACCGTTTCTCGATTCGCAACAATTTGTGTTTTTTTGTGCTCTGGGCAGTTCGACAATTGTGTTTCGCTGAATTCGAGTGCTCCAGAATCTGATCGTTGACTTTTTCTCGTTCGCCCATTGAACGGTAATCGGATGAAATGAAGTGACGGCGACGCGAATCGACCGAATTGTTTCCCACGTTTTTTGTCGAATTAGAAATGAACAAATAGGGGTGATCCGTTCATGTAAACTGAAGATCGAAAATTTCCATTTAAAGAGAAGGAAGTTTGATCTTAATTCCAGAGACTTTTAAAATTTCTTACCCAAAAAAAGTAACCAACAATGGTATTTCTTTTACCTCGAATTTGCAAGGTTCCATCATCCCTTAAATTTGAGAAGCACTTTCAAACCTGAACTTTGAGCTCATTCTCACCACAATTGTCTACTGTCTACAGTAACTCGAGTAGACAAAACTTGGCAACATGTCCGTCTGAGAGTTCTCCATTTCGAGTGTGTACGTGTGTTTTTGTTGCATCTATTTTGAGACGTCTGAAATCCGATACGAGTCAGTCTCGATCGGCGGGGGCTCAGACGGAAGGTGTTCTGAATAGCGCGAACGGTTTGTAATAGTGCACACGGTTAGAGATCAATCGAAAACGGTGAAATACGGAACGCAAAGAAACACGCGAAGCCAAGATTTTGTCTCCTCCCACTCGTCAAACACACGCACTTCGAATGGACGAAAAAAAAACGGCTGTCCGAAATCGAAATTGTTGACGAATATCGGAGGTCTCACTCCTCGAATCGATATTGATTAGACCGCCTTCGCTTCTCTCATTCGCCGCAGGTCTTTTTCTTACATCTCATTCGGTCTCGTTCGGGTTGCGTAGTACAACCTCAACAGCCAAAAAAAACTTCAAACCGAGAGTAGAGGAAGGACAGTGTTCGTCTCGACACTCCGATTGGATTCCGAACACCCCGTAGTGAACGCGGGCGCGCGCGTGCTGCTGTTGCGTCGCCGCGCTCGCGCCTCCCCAAGTACACACACACACACACTGCAAAAATTCAGCGAAATAGTGAGTGTTTGACGGTGGTGATCAGAGGTGGAATGGTAGGAGACGAATGAAATGGGAAGAGGGTTTCAAAAGGGCAGACGAAATAGTTGCAGTTCGGTTTTTTTGTGCCCAACCTCGTCCGCAATCATCCTCATCAATGCACTTTTTTTTGCAATAGTCTCTGTTCCCTTCCATTTTTTTTCGATAGCCTATCCATTATTTTTTTTCGAATACCGATTTTGTTGGTTTCGCTATCGTGTCCGGTCTCGTCGCGAATATGATTTATATCGTGTTATCTGTGTGGTATGGGAAAGTGGGCGTGGCCTGGACAGAGGGATTATGGCAGAAGGCGTCACGGTGTCCGGATTAGGAGGAACGATTTTTGTAGGTCGACGAAATTTTGATCTTCTGAAGGCCTTACTAGTTGTCCTTCATCTTTTTTTCATATTTTTTTTGGAAATTGTCGCGGTCAAATTTTGTCGAATTTTCTGAACTCTGAAATATTGATTCATAATCACCGATTCCAAAGTTTTAAGTGTTTACATTTGAGATATTTAGTCTTTGCCTTAATTTTTGTTTAAACATCACGTTTTTTTTTCTCACACATTTTGATTTCCCCCCCCCTTTTTTGGGAGGCTTGAACCAATCGGATTAACTCTAGATCACATAAGTTCTTTTGAGTTTCCACTTTAAATTTCGCTACGGTCAAGCGACGTTTGATTTAAGAGAAAGATGAGAGAATGGTGTTACGAGAAACCATTCGTGCCGAAATATTTTGTAGATGGAAAATTTAAAAATCTATAGTAATATACATCAGGAATGTAAAATTATTTCAGAAAGAAGTCAAACAATTAAAATATCGAATGGTGTCGTTTATATGTCCGCAGATTTATTTCTTGATTTCTACAATCTCTTATTAGATGATAGCGATTTAAGAAAAATTGCGGTTCTTTGACATTTACACGTAGAATAAGGATTTTTCAATTTTTTTTAATAAGAATTTTTCAACTTGCGGACAACTCGTGGGTTTCTGTATGAGCCGAGTTGAGACCATCTAGTCCCTCAAAATGATGCTCCTTTAAACTGGAAAATCATTATGTACTTGTATTCATGGTCGTGTGTCTCTTCAATTCTGACATGAAACAGTTCGTTTCGTTTGCCTCCTCTTAAGTGAGTCTCAACTCAATTAAGTTTTGCGTCGACCTGACCGACCCCACGAGGAAACGAACAAAAAAAAACATTTGGAATCGGGCGACGCAAAAAAATGGAGAGTTGAGTGAAAACGTTTCGGTCGATTTCGTAGAAAGCGTTCGCTTGCCTAATGAATAATGAGAAGGCGAACTACCGTAGGCAACGCAACGCAGACAGAACCAGCAAGCCGATGCGTCGTCGGCATTTATCGCCGCCAGATTTTCGAATCAGATACCAACGCCGAAAACCGATGGCGGCGTTGCGGAGAAAACTGTAACATTTTTGAGATACTGTACGTAGGATTTGAAGGGGGGGGGGCAGCCGCGTTCGAAAAAAACAAACAACGAAATACCACCAATCGATAGAAATAACATCTTTCTGAGTGTGATTCATTATTTTTTTTTCTTTTTTGTCTTCTTAATTTCGTCTTGTTTTCAGTTCGATCAGAAGCCGGACGTGGGCGCACTGCAGCAACAGATGCAAATGCGCGAGGCGAAACCCTACAAATGCACACAATGCGTTAAGGTTAGCCTTTACTTGTTTGGTTTCATAAAAATTTTAAGATGTTTACGTATTTATTGAAATTTTAAATTATTGAAATGGTAATTTTTAATTAAAGAAATGTATTAATTTTAAAAAAACGCTGTCGAAATTATTTTGTAAACACGGACTAGTTTTCGTGGTCGTGAAATTGACGGCCATCAACTTAGTTGTTGGATAGCATTGCCAGTAAAATATGCAATATATCACTCCTAATAATTTTTTTTCCAGATTTTCATTGATTCCTATTTTTCTACTAGACACTCACTAGAGATTTTAATTCGATGATCAAAGATAACATTTTTGTGTTTCAACAATTATCCAAATTCGAGGTCCATTTTCTTCCAAAAAAGAACATTATTGGATCAATTATATGAACAATAATATAACATCAATCAATCAACGACACATGTTTTTTTCCGGTTCAAAAAAGGCTATAAATTCTTGAGATTTATTATACAAGTTTTTGCCCGAAACCGATTTTGTACATATAGTTTCAATTTGATGATGAATGATGTCGATTATTAAGGCTTTCGCCAACTCGTCGTATCTCTCGCAACACATGCGAATTCACTTGGGCATCAAACCTTTCGGACCGTGCAATTTTTGTGGGAAGAAGGTAACAATTAAGGCACATTTTCAAATTTATTTTTCTTTTTTTTAGTTCACTCAGCTCTCACACCTTCAACAACATATCAGAACGCATACCGGAGAAAAACCATATAAGGTAAGAGACTTCAAGAAAAAAAAAACAATTTTCAAACAGTGAAAAATAGTGCGAATGTTTACTGTGGATTTATATAGACGCATGGAAATTTTTTGAATGGTCTCGACACATTAACCCTAGTATACGGTATTTATTTTAGGTTTGTAAGATAATTTGAGAAGTTTTATAAAATAGTTTTGAATAATTTAATGTGTTTGTAGTTTTTCGAGTTGAGAATCAATCCTCATGATATCTAGTGCACTAATTATCACGGTTTCAAGCAAAATTTGAATTCCCTCCCGGAAAAAACGATCCCCTCTCAAAATGCTTAAGGTGCTCATATATTTGCTAAATATAATATTGTTATTCCATCTGAATTCTGGTGTTTATTTTTCTCCTCGAATATCGGAAATTGATAGTAGATAATATATAGAAATATTTTGACTTTTTTCAGTGCAAGTTCACCGGATGTGACAAAGCGTTCTCTCAGCTGAGCAACCTGCAGTCCCACTCCAGATGTCATCAGACGGACAAGCCCTATAAGTGCAATAGGTAATTCTGTGGGCAATTATCAACATTCATTATAAGATTCATTGTTGCAGTTGTTATAAATGCTTTACCGATGAGCAAGCGCTGCTGGAGCACATCCCGAAGCATAAGGAATCAAAGCACCTCAAAATTCACATTTGCCCGTTCTGCGGAAAATCGTACACCCAATCGACGTATCTTCAGAAGCACATGACGAAGCACGCGGATAGGTCTTCAAAGTCTTCGTCTTTCGCGTATCTCATTTAATGATTCATTTTAAAATTGAAATTTTGAATTTTAGAAACGACGTGCCCTCGGATCACTTCGATCCGTCAATTTTCAATTGGAATTCAATGCAGAATGCGAACGAAGGGAATGCTCACGAATCGGCGTCGTTCAACACGATAAGCAAACAACTCGATTCGATTCGAGCGAGTCAGGAGACGTTCGATCCGTTCAACGCCAATTCGATGATCAATTCGGTGTCCGGTGCTCATTCGTCGCCATATGCGAGCAGCGCGTTGCAGAGTAGTGCCTTCACGCAGCTATTCAATTTCCGCAACCAACGATATCTGCCAGAGTATCCGGCGACGAAAACAAATGGAGAACGGACGGCTGGGTAAGCTGATTATTACATTATGATTATATTTGTATACATATTACTAATTTTCAATAATTTTGGCTTGATGCCACAAAACTATGTGTTGTAGATTTACGGGGGGAGCGCGCTAAGGCCTTTCGCTCTTTTTTTGGTAATGAGCTCTTTTTTGAATTGCAGGTTTAACATGATCACACCTCTGGAGAACATCCAACGCTACAATGGCAACTCGAACACAGCGTCGACGAACACAGCGGCGGCGACAGCGGCAGCGGCCGCTTCGTCAGCATCCACGACGAGTCAGCCCTTCAATCCACAATCAATTATCAACACAATGAAAACGACCAACTACCAATAATAGGCGCCCATTTTGTTAATACAATTCCTCATTCAACCTCTCTTCCGAACCCAATCCATCTGTCACAATTCCAATGTTACCCACTTCTGGGGCCAAGCCCAAAATAAAAACAACACACCCAATATTAATTAATTTATAAGTTCTCTTCGATTGATCTTCGATGCCCCCCACCCATCCCAAAAAATCGAACCCCACCCTTTTTTGTGGCATTTTTGTTTTTTTTTTTCTCAGCCAGTCTGTGTGTGTATACAATATATGAAACAAGTACAACTATTCATTGTTTTATTTCATTTTGTTTTCAATTATTTTTTTTTCGTGTTCTCTCCTTGTTGGTTCCATGAATCTCGGTGTCTCATTAATGCGTTTTTCCTCCCATCAAATTCCGTACCCTCCAATTTATAGATCGATTCGATATTGTTTTTTTTTTCTATTTTCTGTTTGTTTTCAAGTGTTCCTTTTGGATAATTCTTTCGATGTATTGTCGTTGTCAATGCTTTATTGCCACCGTGCCCTCGTCTCCCCCCGTTGACTTCCAAGGTTCCCGAGCATCCCCCCCCCCGCCCCCTCGTCCAACCAACGACTCTTCCAATTATATATTCCTTCGTTCCGGTGTTTCATCATAGTTCGTTTTTCAATGGTATCTCCCAATTTAATCATTTTCCTAGCTGTGCTAATTACCACTCCACAAAATCATTGATCCCCCATGAAATTGTGTTCAGTTCCTCTCTACCCTGTGGTCCAACCCTCTATTATTTTACAGCGTTCGAAACGCTGCCTAAACCGACAAATGCTTTCAGAATTTCGAAATCGAGTCCATCTCTTTTATATTGTTCTTTAACTCATTTTTTTAAAAATGTTCTGTTCAAATACCATCCTCGAACCACCCTTCCCCATCCTCCCATCATTCGCCGCCGGAATTGTATCGTTGAGAGTTGTGAGCGTTGTTTTCTTCTGTTCTCCCCCACCCTTTCCATGTATTCTCATTTCCATCAATTGGTAGTATTGTTTTGTTTTTTTTCGTTTTTTTTGCATTTCCTTCGTATTTTCTTTTGAACAACCTGGTTGTTGTATGTGTTATCAATTTTCCACATTGAATAATAAAATGATTCAACCAAACTAGACAACTTTCGAGTTGACCACAAATCAGTGGAGTCTTGCAAGCTGAACACGAGCACCAGGGTTGTCAAAAACGAGGCGACAAGGCCTTTGTTTGAATTGCCGCCTAATTTCACGCAGCTACAAACAGTCGATTGTAGCGAATCGCCGGAAAATGTCAGAGGATGTTTAAAATAAAAAGTTCTTCTGTTAAGATTGTAAAACACGGCCCCCGTGGCCCCCATTCCGACATCCCTGACGAGCACAATCACATAGGCATTGATTGTCTAGCAAAAAAATATTTTCTTTAATATATCATGAATATTACCGTAACTTAAAGGCACATATTGTCGACGTGGTTCAACAGCGTAAAATTGGCTAATTGTCAAAAAATTAAAAAAGTGGTCTCAGTGCGCTTTTAACCTATACTTCGGCCTGTTAATCTACACTTTTAGTATTGCACCAAGGCCATTTTTTTTTAGCATTCAGACAATTTTCCACAGTCGACACTTAATTTGAACGATTTCATTGAAATATGCTCTATACAGAAAAAAAAACTACTTATTACTTATACATTTTAGGAGACAAGACAAATTTCGTTCTGGAATGACCGAGTATGAAAAATTCTGAAGTATACACTGAAGGCATATGAAACATGTTTAATTTTGGCGCTAAAAATTGAACTTGAATTGAGCCTCAATTCCCATTCATTTTCTTGAAAATTCCGTCAACGGAATACGCTTGCAATTTTTTAAGCAGGCAAACTTCCTGAAAATTAGACCAATCAGATCCAAGATTAAACAAATTATAGTCAATTTGTGGCCGACCATTTCATTCGTTATCAGACGGAAATAATCAGTACCAACATTATAAATAGATAAACAAAACGTGATCATTCATGTGGCTCATCAATTGCACACATTTGCCCTAACATGGCCGTCGAAATCTATGTTATTCTTGTTTTCCTTATTTATATTATATTCAATGCCAGTGCAATTTATAATTTTGTCAAGGTTTTTATCATATTTTGAGAAATTATTGCTTAAAATCGTAATTGAAAGGAGCGTCGGAGGGTAATTTCGCTTCTCAAAAAAGTGCCAGGACCCCTTGCACTACCAATAATTGGCACCACGTTCCAGTTCAAGCTTAACCCAAAAGGTATTCAATCATTATGCACTGCATAGTTATTTTATAATTTGAGCATTTGCGCAACAAATGAGAGATTGGGCTGGATATTATAACAAAGTTGGAACGGATTTAGCAATATTTTGGATCGGACCTCATCCGATGGTCATTGCCCTTAATCCTGTGACAATTAAGGTATTCAAAAATACACACAATTTGATGATAGCAAGCTCTATCTTGTTCTCGCCTGCGGAACATTGATAAAATTTTTGTTTGATACATTTCGTATTGCCGAAGACGGACGAATTCGACAAATTTGAACGCGTTAGCTATTTTTGATCTTAGCGCGATATCAACGAATTTTCGCATGCGCCTTTGATATCTACTGTAATTTTTAAGCCATTTCATATATATACGATCAAATCGAAAATCGAAAAAATTATAAGACAATGGCGTTGCATATTTCCCTAAATTCGTCTATCCTCGACAATATTTTTTTCATTTCAATTGAATTTTCATAGGTTTTTAAAAAAACCTGGTTTTAAACATTTTCAGCCGGGGCTTAATGAAAATTTCAAAAATTTTTTAAAAAATTATTTTGTTTGTAAAACCATAATATTTTATAAGTGTTTCGTTTCGGTCATATTTGTAATATTATTAATCTTAATCAAATATGAAGGATTTCTATATCCTAACTGGCAAACAAAAAACGAGCACATGTGCATTATAAAAACATTATTTCTTTACTGGAATGGCATAATTACCCATTTCTGATCCGTTTTATATCAAAAAATTTGTTTATAAACTATTAAGATCATTTTAAAAAACCCCATGGTCAATTTCTAAACAACGGAAAAATTATTTTTACCTACTCATGAAATGTATTTTTTGTACAAAAAATGTAAAAAAAAAAAACTACATTAAATTTGCATTTTTCTTCAAGCTTACATAGAAAAAAATTGTGATTTGCGCAATTGTATTACGTGAATAGGTCCATTTCCATTTATTTCAATTTCTACGCAATTTTCTAAAAACCGACGCCGACCGCGACGCACACGCAACGCGGTCGATTCTCGACCGCCTAAGCGCGCGAATTTAAATACGCGGGTGTGATCCGAATTTTTAGCCGTATTTTTTCGATACTTCATTATTTTAGGCAATTTTGGAAAGCAATGTGGTGATTAATAAAAGTCGAGAATACGAGATATTCCTTCCGTGGCTCGGCACCGGTTTGCTTCTAGCTGGAGGCAGCAAATGGAGACAACGTAGGAAAATGCTGACACCTTCGTTTCATTTTCAAGTTCTCAACGATTTTCAAGCAATTTTCGATTATCAGTCAAAGGTTTTTTTTTCGTTTTTTGGAAACGTATTGAATCTAAGAAATTATTTCAGATTTTAGTGGATCAACTAAATAAAAAAGTCAAAGAAACGTCGACTTTTGATATTTTCCCTTTTATCAAACGATGCGCACTGGATATTATTTGTGGTATCAACTTTTATTTCTACTTTTGTATCAGATAAATTTTTAGAAACTGCTATGGGAAGCACTGTTAATGCTCAAACTTACCACAGTCATCCATATGTAAAGGCGGTTTCGAATATGAACATTCTATCCTATAAATATCAAAGAATGCCGTGGCTTTGGATAAAGCCGATCAAGTAATTTTACCCTAATCAACCGTAATTAGGTGTTCTTTTTTCTTAGATATCTTTCGGGTTTCGCGAAACAGTATGAGAAAAATTTGGCGACTGTCACCAATTTCACGAAGGAAGTTATCGAAAGCAAAACGAAAGAGTTTGAAGAAGCTGGCAACTCGTGGGGCAATAAAGATAAGAAGGCGTTTCTTGATATGCTGATTGAGCTCAAAGAAGAAGGCGGTTTGACGTATGAGGATATTCGCGAAGAAGTTGACACATTCATGTTTGAAGGTGGGAGTGTCGTTGAGATATTTTTAATCGTCAACAATTCAATCTAAGGTCACGATACAACATCCGCTGGAATCGGATGGACATTATGGTGTTTGGCGAACAATCCAGAAAATCAGAAAAAAGCTCAACAGGAACTCGACGAAATTTTCGGTTTGTTGTGACATTCAGAATCACTTGTAATCAAATTCTCCAGGTGATTCGAACCGAGAATGCACTATTGATGATTTGAAACAAATGAAGTATGTCGAGAAATGTGTGAAAGAAGCTCTCCGATTACGACCGTCGGTTCCGCATTTTGCTCGAATTATTGAAGAAGACATCGACATAAATGGTGTTACTGTGCCACGTGGCACCTCGATTCTCATCTCGCCAGCATTCATTCAGAATAGCGACAAATTCTTCGACAATCCTGAGATTTATGATCCGGAGAGATTTAGCGAAGAGAATATCACAAAGCGTCCAGCTTATACCTATATTCCGTTTAGTGCGGGTCCGCGAAATTGCATAGGTTAGCAATTCGACAAACGTTTTAATCAATTAATTTTTATTTCAGGTCAAAAATTTGCACTACAGGAAGAAAAAACGGTCATTTCGTGGGTGCTTCGAAAATTCGAGGTCTCATATTTCAATGTGATTTCTAGTTTATCGAGAACTTCAGGTTTTCACTGACATCGGCCTCGGCGAGAACATGCCTCTTCCGGAAACGATTCTGCGGCCCGAACTCGGGTTTCCCATCACTTTGACACCACGCGTCTAACATGTCATTAATTAATTTATTTAGATATAATCTCCTTGTTAAAACCATTTCATACATATTGAAGTAATAAAAAAATGGAAAGAAAAGAAAGCGAAAGTATGAAAATTGTATATTGAAATGGGGTAGTTTGAATTGAAATAGAACACGTGAAAATCATAGAAAAGCAAGTATGGAAATAAATGGTACAATCGATGGTTATTATATATGTCAAACACTACTAAAATGATAAGTTTTTGAAGGCTAGTAAGAGAACAAGATTGATGGGAATTATGATTAAACAAGAGAGGTTTGAGTACCAAATTCAAGAACACTAGATCATATACATATATATATAGAGGGGGTCATGGTTTGTACAGGGTGTCATTTAAGTTCCCGCACAAAAGTTTGACGCCATGAAGAGCTTGGCTGTCACACTTTTCGTGCACCAATACAATTTATTTTTGTTAAATAAGGTATATTTTACTTACTTTCCAAGTTTCACCTCATTCGGATGTGTTTCCGAGAAATGGTGAAGGCTAACATCCATCGCGCTTCCATTATCGAACTTCATAAGCAAAATGTGAGCCCGAGAGACATCATTCAACGGGTCGGTGTGCCTTGTAGAACGGTTTATGACACCATAAAACGATTCAAGGAGCTAAATACGACTAGTGACCGTCCCAGGCAAGGAAGACTCGTCTCAGTAACCACTCCTCAGAAGATAAACGCCGTTAAATCGAGGATCATGCGAAACCCCCACAGGAGCATGAGAAAGATGGCATCAGACGTGGGAATGAGCATCTTCACTATGGAACAAATCGTCAAAACGAAGCTTGTACTGACCCCATATCGTGTCCAAAAAGCGGCAATTCTATCAGCCGTCAACAAGCAGAAACGCTTCGAAAAAGCAAAACGACTTCTTGCTCGCACGCGGTCTGGAGAACACCTCGTCACTGTCTTCTCCGACGAGAAGCTGCTCACTGTGGAGGCGGCATTCAACTCACAAAACCATTGAGTACTTGCCCAGACATCCCAGCAAGCTTCTGAGAAAGGAAGAACAATTCATCGAGCCTCACATCCTGCCAGTGTGATGGCTTTCGGTGCCATCTGCTCAACCGGGATGTGCCTCCTGGTTTTCGTGGATCAGGGGGTGAAAATGAACAAAGAAGTCTACGTTGGGGACATTTTGGAGAAGCATTTGATGCCCTGGACCCAAACGCATTTCGGTAGGCAGAAATGGGTCTTTCAACAGAACGGAGCACCCGCCCACACTGCCAAAACTACTCAGGAGTGGTGCCAGACCCATTTTCCCGACTTCATCAAGTCATCCGAATGGCCTGATTGCTCCCCAGATCTGAACCCGCTTGACTTTTCCGTGATGGGGTCTTGCAGGGGAAGGTCAACGCAAAACCCCATTCAAGTGAAGAGGCTCTGAAGAAGACATTACTGGCGGAATGGGACAATCTTTTCATCGAATACCTGCGTAGCACAGTCGAATCCTACCCGAAGCGTCTCCGTGAAGTCATAGCTGCGAAAGGAGGCCGAATCAAAAAGAGTTAATAGATAAATATTTGTTATACTATAGATAAAAAATATTTCGAGTCTCGTTTGATTTGGACTTTTAGTTTCAGAAATATACGTCTTCAAAGTTGTGCGGGAACTTAAATGACACCCTGTATACACATTGTCTTTTTTAAAGACTAGCATTTCAGCTGTACTCGTTGGATTTTATTACAAATTAAAACAGGGTTTTCTTTTTTCTTGGGGGTAGCGGTATAGGTTTGATTTTTGGTATATACGATTTTGGAATAATACTGTAGAATCGGGCTAGTTCTTCTGTGATTTCTACAGGTGATGATGTCATCACTGCGGGCAACGGAAATTTGGGACAAGCTGGCGCAGCTGATGATGGTGATGGTTTTGTTGAGATTGGAGCTGATGGATGACCCGGCGGTGGTAAGCGTTTCGGGTATGCGAAGGGATTCACTCTGGGCTTCGAGGGCATCTTCAATGGGTGTGGTGGCATCGGTGGATCGGTGGCCATCAATGGCAGTCTATCAACGTTTCCGTGAACTCGATTCGAATAGCGTGGCAATATCAATTGAAACGTCGGTGCATCCGGTGGGCCTCGTCTGAGAATCATGTGCGAGCACGGTTTGATTTCAGACTTCTTGGCATTTGGATCGAAACCTTGGGAAGTCGACGGTTGCGGTGACATCGACTTCCAATTTGTATACAACGGGGACAATGAGAATGAGCTCTCAGGCGAGTCTGGAGTTGACGACCGAGAAGATTCTTCATTACTGTCTGAGTCGCCCTCCTCTGCCTGTTGTGCTGTTGCTTGAGACGATGATTGACCAACGCAATCATTTTGCTGAGGCACAATTTCTGAATTCGGGTTCATCTGTGTCGTCTGCGGATCGATTGTCGATTGTTCGGCCATCAATTTCGACCTGTTTTGCGGGTACAGCGGAATCGGCCGGATAATCTGCGGCATCGGTGGTATTCCGTTTGACGCAACCACTTGTGGACGTGGCTGCGTTGGTGGAATATTGCCGCCAAGACTCAACATATTGCTCGGACCAGTCGCCAAATGAGTCGCCAATTGTTTTTGGAAATCCGTCATCGAACCAGGCTGGAAAAAAATAATTTTTTGTGTCAAATTATTTTCGGAAAATTTTTCGAACATTGACTAGACGCATATAATTCTTACCGATGGCATTGGAATAACTGGAACTGAGTTTATCGGAGTATCCATAATAACAGGTTGGGTCGACGTCGATGGTTGGTCATTTGCAGGTTCCGGCGCCATGATCGCATAGCCATCAAGAGCTTTAACCGACTCCAATGACAACTGGCAGAGCAACTTCTGTTCAAGCTGTAAATTGTCAAATGCGGAAGATAGATATAAAATTCAATAACCTGGACAGCCGTCCATTCGGCTTGCTTTGGATCGATTTTGATGAGACGATGCTTCTCAGACTCGACCACGGTCAGTCCCTTCTTGAGATCGCTGAGTTCCACAAGCGACTTTTCAGAGCAGTTGGCGGTGTTCAAATTGACGAAATCGCCTCTGAGAGCATCGAATGTTGCAGTTGGTCGTTTCATCGGTTTCAACGGAATTGGTTTGATTGGTATGACCGGCTGCTTCTGGATTGCAATATTCTGTGGCTGGTGGGAGCCAGTTGGAAGTTGTTGCTGCTGAGGCGGAACGAATGTCGGGTTCTGCATAGTGAACTGTTGCTTCTGCGACACGGCTTGTGGCTGTTTAAATGGGACCAACTGCATTGAGTTCTGATTCTCCTGTTGCTTTTGCGCGTACTTTGCTGGCAGCGCAGGAACCTTGAATGGCTTCTCAATAGCTTTAAGTGATGGAGCCGCTGGCAGCATCAACGGATTCTCGATGAAGTTTTGTGGAATCGATGGTATAGTCGACAAGTGATGGACCGGCATTGATCTCTGGAGAAACTGCATGTAAGCAGAGTGCAGAAACGGCTTCATCGACTCGTGAATGATGTGCTTCTTCGGCACCACAACCTTCTTTATTGTCTCTTCGTCATCGATTACGTTGATTTCGTCTTCTTCCTCGTAAACCGTGATGACAAGATCATTTTCGGTGAATTGCTTCTTAGTCTTCACAGCCTGCTCTTCTTCACATTCCATTGATCGATCACCCTACATAAAAAATTAGGCTCAACATCGTATATCGTTGATAAGTCCTACCACTGTGTCGATCCTTCGTTTGTATCCGAATCCAGATTCGCAAAACTGTTTGAATAGTTGCTCGTTGCGAATGCGATTCGGCGCGAATCGCGACACTTCCAGCATTTGCACCCAATTGTTCGAATTGAGCCCGACGTGAACCAAATCCTCATGATATCTGACGTTGTAATGGTGATGCACGACGAAGTCGTTCGGTGTGAACTTGTGCGCGCAAATCGAGCATATGATGCATCGCATTCCTCTTCTCCGATAGTAGAGACTTCCGTGGCATCCGGCCTAAAATAATCCCGAAATAATATGTGATGATGTTGGCAAAAATTTCCGGCCCCTATAGAGTTTGGGCGGAATTCGGAGTTCCGCAAAACGTTCAAACGGAAATTTCAGTTTGAAAGTTTTCAAACAATTTTTTTTTTGAAATTCCAATTCTGACCATCTGTGAGGACGTTTCTATACAAAAAACAAACTACTTACATTGAGCATGAATTTTTCAATTGGAAATGATTTATTGTCCCATAGATCATCATCAAAATCGACAAAGTTGAAGTGGACCACCGGAATTCGATCGTTCGGATTCCTATAAAAATGTTCCATGACTATAATTGATCCTAATCGCCTTCATTCATACCACATATCCATTGCACACTCAATATCGGTCATTCCACTTTCAACTCTCAATTCTCCCACCAAACGCTCGATATCCGATCGTCTGATTAGTGCGATGTTCATCGGATTCGATCTCTTGTATCGTTTATTCTTGTGCCCCAGCATTTTTGCTTGGCGCTGCGTCGTATATGGAATATGTACTTTTCGTGTTGCTATAATTTGAGGTTGTATAGAAGTGTTCAAGTAAGAATTTCGTACTCAAGAGATTCTGGAATAAGCTCGCATCGATTCCGGCTTCTTTTTTAACAAGCTCATCGATTTCGACGAGTGGAAAATGCGGTTCCTGATGAATGATAAGCGTTGAAACTTTTCTCCTGCAAATTTAATATTTTTTACTTTTGTTTTTTTTTCTTTTTTTTTCGCGGTGACTGAATTTTGAATTATGGATAAAATTAGTTGAAATCAACCAGTGCAAAAAGTGCATCATTTTAAAAATTGCCCAAATTTGAATAGATTGCCCAAAATTGTTTTTTTTTAGTTCATTTTCAACTCTTTTCATCATTTCATTCCTCGAAAATGTATAAAATCTAATAGATTCCATTAAAAATGAAATTCGGTCGTAAATAATGTGCGGTGGCGATTTTTGATCTACAAATCATTTATATCTCAAATTGAAGAAAATTTCATCCCGTCTAGACATGTGCATGCTCGCACATGGAGAAAAAAAAACGCCTTCAGCTGCAGCTGCAACTCTCATCTCGAAAAAAGTCGAAATTGAGCGAGTAGACAAACTGAGTCGACAACACAACATTTTCCAGCGATTTTTGCTCCGCTTGAAGGGTTCTCCTGCTTTTTTGAACACCACATGACTAGGCCGCCAGCCAGCCAGCCGTTGGCTATCAAGAGTTTCTCTCTGCGCTTCTACGAACCACGCCAGCCATTCTCCATTTTTTTTCTCGTACTGCACTGCCTTCATCGAGCAGGAGGCAGACAGGCGCGCCCGACGACGAAGATGATGAAGAAAACCAAAAAAAAAACGAAGTACGTGCAGAATTCGAATGAGACAGGGCGGCACAACAAGGCCGTGAAATAAAAAAAAACGCGGCCTCCCTCATATTTTTTTTTGTTTGTGTGCGTCAATGGAGGGCGAAACAACAACAAGAGTGGCAGCAGACGAGACGCACTTTTACACGTCGTTGTTTTGGTGATCGAGGAGCAAAACTCATGGAAAGCAAACAGTTCATTGGGGCAAATAAATTGGGAATCCCAAAGGCATCGTATGGCATCATTTTAATGAGAAAAAAATAGATCCCCCCACCACAGATGGACGAAAAATCACTAATCTAATTAAGCCTCTCGTAATCTCAAGGGTGGTCGTAATTTCTTTTTTGCAAACATGTTTTTTTTAAGAACCCCATCGCCGACAAAAATGACGTGAATGCCTTTTTTGAGCATTTCTCTTGGAGCAATTTGCGCTCCAAACAATATTTGGATGGAAACTCGTTGACGTACCCGAACAAGTAGCTCCACTGGAATTGGAATTCTTGCACTCTTTTGCCGTACAATTTTCGCATTGTCGGAAACTCGAAATCGATGTAGTCGTCTGGAACGTAGTTCATCAGCGCAATATCCTCTTCGGTCCATTCCGTCGTCTCCGGCATCGACGGATTGGTGACCTCGTTATCGTCGACAACAATAATCTCGCTGTCCGAGCTTGCCACTGACATATTGTTGCTGGAATAGGCCCAGGTTTTCTGCAAAAATAAATTGTTATTATTTTTTAACTTTTCTAATAGGCAAATCATCGATTAAAATTGCACATAACCACAAGCTTTTGGGTAGTTGTTGACATTATTGAGCATTTGGTAGATCATGCCACAAAAAATTGTTCAAATGTTTGCATATTTCTGTGTTCTTTCTTGTGTGTACTACGCGCGTTTGATTTTCGAAGAACACGAGGGGGGAGAGTAAAGCAGACGATGGCCGGCCGGCCGGCCGCGCCGGCTGACTGGCTGGCTGGAGTTCAAAAAAACAACCGAGGACACCATGTCAAAGAAAAGCAAGAATGAAATGAATGCGCGAAAAAAAAAACACACAGACACAAGGTTTCGTCGACGTGCGTCTACGATGCGTTGAATTCAGAATTCGCAGTTCAACGAACCAACAATGAAGCGTCTGCCATTAATTATCTCGCAAAAAGAATGGATCGTCGTCGTCTTCGGTGTAAGAAAAGGGACACACAAGACGAAAAAATGCGAGGGGTGTGGCCAGACAACCAGACGACACCGTAGTTAACGGGAAACGCTAAATCGAATCTTCAAAATCGTCGACATTCAAAGTTGCAGGAAATCAGACGGTTTTGTGACATCATCGCATACCATGTGACCAAATTGCTGAAGCGAGCAGAACGAGACGTGCCGAACAAAGTTGATCTTTTGATATTTTGCTCCAGAGTATAAATTTTCCAATGTCTGCTATTTAAAAAAAAATGGAGGGTCCAGTAGACTAAGCAATAGATGTATGATATTGAAAGGAAGAGGACATCTTGATTCAGATTATTTGAAAATCGACAAAAGGCTTCGGAGCTACTAATGGGGTGTGGGGGATGAGGGTGATGTGGTCACCAACAACTTTTTTGGTTATAATTAATAGTGTAAAAGCGAGTAGAGGAAATGTTTCAGGAAGAAAAACGCACACACAGAGAGAAGAAGAGGAGAGCTGGAGAACAGCAAGGAATGCGGTCTAGACAGATACGATCGCGTGCGCCTTCGCCGCCGCCTCATGAGTACGACGAGGCCCATTCGTCTGGCCTCCGTTATTGAACATGAGAGGAATCATAAACCTAATTATAAAAAATTCATACCTGCAGACACACATACACACACACGCATAAGAGAAAAAAAGGCCGCAAGTTCAATACCAAAAATGGGAAAAATTGTCAGCCAAAAAGTTTTTTTCGTGCTAAAGAGAGGCCAGACGTAGTGTGTTCAACACCCCCGGTATGTACTTTTTTCGTCTGTATCAAATTGAGGGAGTTGGCGCAGAAATTCCAAATAATTTTTGTCGTCGTTAATCGTCCACCAGCTGACGATTATAGAAGATTAGAACAACTAATTATCTCCTCTGACCCCTTGTCAAAAACCTGCGAAATGAGCCACGTCACCAATTTCTCAGAGAAAATTGGAATATATTATAGTGATTATGCACGAAAGAAAATCTAAGAGCGCGCATTATAAATAATTTTATGATATTATTTCAATTGAATAATCGTGTTGAGCTTAATCTTTTAATCTCCGCAGAAAAAAAAAACGGCTGTTCAACTTTCGTCTCATACATATTACTTTCATCAGCCGACGAGACAGATGGTTTTTGTCTGACCTTTCCATCCGGTTTGACTCAAACATCACCTGAACGAATTGGTTCAATTCAAATAATAAGGAAACCAGCGAAACGCTAGAGTTTTGCAATCACACGACAAGACCACACCAACAAAACATGTTGGTGATGAGGAAACGATACAGTAGATTGGCGGAGGCGATAGGATGGAAGGCAATTTGTTGACTGCGTCGATCATGGGAAGCGCCCGAGCGTGAGCGTGTGAATGTGTCTAGACCGAAGAGGGGAGTGCAAAGTGCAGTTCTTTTGATGGAGCCGAGATAGGAAGCAGGCGAATGACGCGCGCCCGCCGCCGCCGCCGCCGACGCTGTCGTTCATCAAGCCTTCATTTTTTGCTGTTCTTCTTCAGTACTTTGTGGATGTTGTTGACACGTTGTTCTTGCGTAGAAACATTTGGAAATTTAATGCTGGCGGCTAACTAGGACTAGAAGTGTTCGAGATTGTAAGATTAGAATTTTTAAAAATGGATAGTTGAAACATTTTGAGACTACGTGGATAAAGATGAAGCGCGATTAAAAACACAAAACTATACTATTGTTTTTTTTCTTGTTCTCAAATAAATGGATTCCTTCATAAATTAATGAAATGCTAACCGATATACACATGTAGAAAAGCATAGGTGAAGAGAGAGAGAGAGAGAGAGAGGTTGACAATCGGGGAAATGCAAATAATAACAGAAGCTAATACAAACCAGTGGGAAACTCACGCGGAGTCTCTTTCCATAAGATAAATACATAAATTGATTGGAGAAAAAAAACGTGCACTTTTAAATATAGAATTAAATGGCGAGGGAAAAAAACTTAATTGGATTGTAATGCGTGCCACTTAGGAATTATTGAAATACGCAGAATTATTAAATTCGAAACGAGTTTGACATTGTGATGTCAAAAGAAACCAATTAAAGTGTTCTTAATATTTTCAAGTTCAATTCGCAAAAAACTTGTTTGATTATTAATGAAAGTGTTTACGGAAAACCATAAAAGAACCTAGTCTTAACCAATTTGTTCAACGTCAATAAGTTTTTTGACGTCTCGCGATAAATTTTCAGCTAACAGGGAAAAAAGGAAATTCGAAAATCGGCGGCCACAAAATGAAGAAGACAAATTGATGATGATCACAATAAATTGGAAAAGGCGCCGAAACCCCCCGTTCGAGTTGGATGTCTAGTAGTTTGACGGTTTTCCCCCATTAATCCGTACACATTCATCTCCGACATTTTTTTGTGTGTTGATAGGAAGAGATTCTTGATTGATGAGAATCTGTTGGTTTCGTTGAACTTTTCAATGTGATATTGTTGCGAACGAAGCCGACCGGCCGGAAATTGCATAATTTCCGTTATGGTCCATATTTGATTATTTTTTATGTTGTCTTTGTGCATTTCCTGGGTTGGCACGACTACGGTAGAAAGAGCAACCTAATATGGGATGAAGCAACAAAATTAATTCCCATTATAGAATTACAGTATCGCCAACGCAAAACAACCGACCTTTCAATTGTTTGAATAACGTTTCGATTGTTGCTTTTCCCAAGTATACGTCGGCTCTGAAAATAATTCGAAATCATCTCGACCAAAAAAACACGAGCCATTAAACGCGAAGCTGTGCTACTCGCAAAAGAATGGGGTAGGCGAGCAGTGGGCGGAGCCACACAAGCACGATTCTTGCACACCTAATTAGGAATAGAGACGCAGACACGGAGTTCCGGATAAATTTCGACTCTAGAATTTTTTCAACAACACCTTTTCGCTTCGGGACCATTTAGCAATGCCGATGGGAATTGACATCAATTTATTTCAGCAGGACGTGATATGCAATTATCGCCGCCTCATTATTTTCCATTTGCCATATTTTGTGAGCCTAATTGATTTGCTATTTGAGCCAACCTTCTGAAAGCCGAAATCCCAGGTTGGCTAGACAAGTCGGTCTTCTACACTTTTTTTTCATAACAGTTTTACGTGAGCATCTACAAATGAATTGTTTCCGCTCGCTTCTCAACTTCGATTATTTTAGTTGTTGAAGTGAACAATAGAATGTATACATGTACAAGAGATGATGATAACAGAAAAGAAACTATCGATGTGTCACAATAGCATATATTCACACGATTGATAAAAAGCATAAAACACCATTTTATTGGTGTACATTTTTCGAGGGGAACAGCGCAAAAAAAAAGTGGAACGAACATTGGAAAGCGGAAATATTTTGCATTCCGAAAATAATTTTCAAAATTCAAATGTGGCAAACATTTGGTAGCATTTCATCTGCGGACAATTTAGCAGGTTTAAATCACTTCCTTCCGACATTTAAGAGATTCGTGTGATATTTTTTTTTGCGCTCGGCATATCCAATTTATACATATTTCTGATAAATTCTTCGAATGATGGAGAGATATGTTGTGAATACAACCAACTACTACAAATCGAGAAACGTTGCACAACTCTTCGCTTCAGTAACACTATAATTTTGCTTTGATTTTCGTGACATTTCGATCAGCTGCTCCAGACGAGACAGACAAATTCAAAATAAATATGCCTTCTAATAAATGACGTGACATTCTCAGCAAGTTGTCTGGTAATACGGTAGACAAAGGGCGGAGCTTCATCGGATTAGATGTTGCTCTGAACCAAAAAAAACGCGACTAAGCGGGGGCTTTCATATAACTAATATTCGGATTCCGTAGTCAATGTTTTGAAGAAGCCATGCGAATAACAAGGATTATGGAGCATACAATACATATGGTGATAAATAATTAAGTATAGTTTGATTCCAAATACGGTATAAAGCAATATGTGTAGTTTAGTCCAACACTTGGACTTAAGACTTAATACCGAAAAAATGTCAACAATTGACAAAAACAAACACAATCAAACTCTGAGAGTTTCAATTGCCGACAAGACTTTTTGATCTCTTCCGAAGATCCCGCCTCTCTACAGTAATCGGATTGTTTAAAAAAGGGCTAATTTCACGTTCCTCCTCTAAAAGTTATTCTTTATCAGAAAAAAGGCCTTTGTCATGTGAGACAATCGATAAAATTGACAAAAATTCATATAGTATGTAATTATGAGAATAACTTAAAATATGCTAATTAAACCACGATGAAAAAAGGATAAACAGGAAGTTAAGAAAAAAAAGGAAAGAAAGAAATAACCAAGAAAATCGTGATGAGACCATTGGTTCACACGCTGTTATCTATCTTCAGAGAGTACACCTCGTTTGATAGACAAATTGATGTCTACAACACTTTTCTCATTATCACGGAATTATTTAAGGAATCAAATGAACGATTGAACAAGATTGTGGTAGGAGGGGGGGGGGGAATGGGTAAATGTTGATATTGGGCTTCTTGAAGATGGTCCGGCTCTTAGTCATAGATTTCAAACATTTTAATCATGGGGTTCACACGCACACACACACTTCCAGACATTATCAAACTAAACAATTTCGAAGACATTTTCGGCATTTAATTATGGGGGAAATGCACAAGCCTCGTTGAACACTTCTGACGCGCTGCTGTCCATTTAATGAATACCGTATATACGTTGCTTCCATATTTTTTGAAACAAAACCAGTTATTTTATTCACAACGATGTGACGATATTTAAGCCATTGAAGGCCTTATTTAAGCTATTGAAAGTCTTTGAAAATTCGATGATCTAGGGCTTCAAAGACTTTTTTAAAGTTGAGAAGTAGAGATATTCTGGAGAAAATTAAAAAAAAACATCTGTTTCCGATAAAAACCTGGCTAGTAATAGCAGTCGGCCCAAGACACAACTCATTTTCCGCTTCACGAGCCTTTGATCGATTTTTTAAAAATTTCAATTTCACTATTGAATTTACTAACAACTTTCATTACAGTTTCCTTACTGACCTATTCATGAAATGTATTTTTTAGTTGTATTATTAAGTATATTATGTACATACATTTGTTCAAAAACATTAAAGACGACACACGCAGTTATTGCGATGGGTCTTTCAGCGATTGATACTGATAACGGTTTTTTTAGAAACATCCTCTACGTTGCCATACGTCTGGTTAAGGTGTTAGAAGAATGGTCTCACGTGAATAAGCACGTGAACTCGAGCTCTGTCGACATTCTCATCGAGATCAAAAAGATCGGCCCGGTCCGATAATTGCGCACAACACACCGCGCATAGAATGACAAATCTCTCGATCATCATCAAATATGTGGTGTATGATTTTGCCAAAAATGACCGTCGTCGGGCTCTCTAATTTTAAGAAGGTGTGATTGATGTCGAAAACCGATAAGACGATGAAGATGTTCTTTTTTGAACCAATGAGGCCTACAGTATCCCCAAGTTATATTGTCCAATTAAAGTGCTTGGATTAAAAATGAAAATCTCAAAAGATCGAAGTGTTTGTCACCTTAAATATTTGCTAATCCAAACTATGCATACACTTTTTCCTCGCGCAAATTACCGTGA